GAAAGTTGTAAATGCTAAGGAGCCCAAGAACTTCAGTTTTAGAGAAGAACAAGAAGTTAAGCCTCTGATGTGGAAACAATTTGGGTTGCCAAAGATCTTAACTTCATTTTCCCTTTGTAATCCAGGCATCATCTTCAGTCAAGACTTTGTTTTGGAGAATCTACTTCCTCCCCTCTACTTCACAGAATCTACTCCCTCCCCTCTAGGCCCCTCCCAGCTGGGAGTTACTGTAAGTGCTACAATAATGAGAAAAATTAAATAGAATTGCAGTCATATTATGTGTGTAGGCAATTCATAATGCCTCAGAAAGACTTCTTATTACAGTTAAAAGAAAAAACAATGAATGTCATGCTCTTGAATGAGATTTCCACCTATATGATATATCTAATTCAATAATCCTTAAAGTCAAGGCAGGATAGACTATGGTTGTTTGCACAGCTGTAATTCATCTCCTTTCTCTTAAGCATTACCATAAACTTAATACAATTTTTTCTAGATTTCCAATGGATCCACATTCTAATTCAACAGAAAATAATTATTTGTAACTGTTTAATCCACATAGGTGAGTATGTGGCTCCATGCCATGAATAAAAACAAAAGCACTACACATATGAATAAAGCCACCAAACTGGTACTACCAAGCAACTGGAACTACTGTACCTCCAAACTTTTGAAAGATTTGAAGGTTAAAAGCCACAGTTTTCCACATATTCTCACCCAAATGAAAATTTTAAAAAAGGAAAAAAAATGCTTTCCTCCTTTAATATTGTATCACTAACAACACTTATGGTTGTAAACCTGCTTGGGCATGTTTTAATTTGCCAGCCAAAACGATAACATTAATAGATTATTATGGTCACCATCAACATGCAAAGACAGTTTTGCTTAGGGGGCAGAAAACAATGGTAAACACAAAAAATCTGAGATGCTATATTTTTTAAAAGAGCTAATGGGATGGAAAAAGGAATGCAAGAGACAGTTTTCTTTAGATCTGATTATTCTAATCTAAATTTGTGAAATATTTCTAAAAAGGAATCACTTAGGTAGTCTCTAAAGGTATAGTAACAAGTAGAATCAAACACATTAAAAAACAAAACAAACCACCACACTATGCATTTTCCACAGCAACACCTGTGTCCTTGTCACAGCTTTTTAAGATGCGTGTGGGTACTGTTTGTTGTTGTGAAGTTAAAACTTGTATTGAAAAGAATCAGAGAAACAGGAAACCCTTGAAAAAAAAAAGTTTGTTTCTAGACCTTCCAACTATTTATCCACATTGATAACTATGTATGTCACAGACCTTACCTCAGACAACATCTAAGTGCAGGTGCACTCTTTTCTCAAACCACGTAAAGTAGGGATTTTTATGTGGGAAAGACAATCTTAGTAAGTCTCAAAGATTAAGCAGTCTTCAAACGTAGGGCCAGCTCCAGACTTTATGTATCTGATCCTCATGTCAGGAGCACTACAAAAGGTACTTAAGACGTATCTAAGCAGCTCTGCACCACAACTACCACACTCGGCTAATTCTGAATCCAAATTTACATCGACTCCAGGACTGTGCTGCAGACAACCCTAGGCAACAGATGCACAATCCACATTCTGAAAAGGGCTTTGGGAGTCAGCTTGTATCCAAAAAAGCATTATGCATATTCACCTTCTTGAATCCCTGAGCTCTCAGATGTGCAGTGTACACACATTAAATTGCTCTATCATGCTGACTCAGTATAGCTGAGCAGCTCTGCAGATCATTCCTCAGTACCCAAATAATATGAAATATCATAGCCCTTCCCATTAACTGAGGTAACAAACAGTTGTTGCACACAATTCTCTGATTATAACAACAAAGAAGAGAGACCCGAGTTTCTCATCAATACATTGGTTCTATGAGTGAGGATCTATGGCTAATGGGCAACATGCAAGAAAGCAACCATACTTCATACACAGTGGACAGAAAATGGAGATTTCTGACTCACACTAGAAATAGCAAATTTCTTGAGTAACCAAGAACACAAACTATTTTTGTGCTTGAATCAGCAATACAGTGAACAAGGAGTGAAAAGGAGTCCTCACATTCTTCATACTTTTCTTGCACAAAATATATCCTGAACTCAGGGGTAAAACAAATCAATTTTAGAGAATTGTTCATATTTATATTTAAAATCAGACCAACAGTTTTGTGTAACTTGCAGAATTTCCTGTGCTTGGAGTGAGGGGGAGAATCAGTGTAAACTGCTTTGCAGTATGATGTTATTTCACAAAGAGAAAAAATAGTATCAACACCAGTGCAGCAGGCAAAAGAACAATCTTGTGAAGATACCAGTTTTAGAATGGTAAATTAAAAAAAAAAAAAGGAATTGCTTCACAAAAAATCAATACACTTTCCCCATAGGTTCATGATGTAAAATTCTATAATCAAGGCTTGTAGATTTGTAATTATGGTATGTCAGCCACATTTAAACAAGCATGTTAAAAGATTGTTAAAGTTAAACTAACACAATTGCAATGTGAATTGTCTTAGTCTCATTCTAATCTACTCGTGTCACTTTCACTTAATCAGATGGAAACTATGGGCAAATGTCAGTGCTATTTTCAGGCAACCCGACTTACTTTGTTTGTGGCGGTTTTTAAAATGATTTCCAATCTGAAATGCAAATAAGGTATTCTAGACGTTTTTTTTTTTTCCCCTAGTCAATTCTCTCACTATCCAGCAGGTAGTTGCTTGGATTTACTGAGAGTAAAACTATTTTGATGCAATTAAACACAAAGTATTGCTTGCTAGGACATAAGCCACGAATACAGAAAACACTACTCATGCACAACAAATCAACTTCTTTTGAATTACAAACTATTGAAAGTATAAAATCATCAAGAGCCTGGCTATCAGATTTGCCAAAAAAGTAAAAGAGCTCCCTATTTCTAGTTTAAATTTCTTTCACTGATACACAGCAATGTAAGAAATGTGCAAGCAAGTAAATTACCTACAACCTAAAATATAATCTCTTGAGAAAAGTACACAAAGAATTTATGACTTACTGCTAAAAAAAAAAACAAACCAAAGCATAACAGCTGCTTCATTCTTAGCATGAAAAAAAAAGTGAGGAGTTAGGTAACTAAAGAGGAAAAAAAAGGCTACAACAGATGATTAGCACAAGTCAAAGGAAATGTCTAAAACGCTCTCTATATTCTAACAGTTGACCCCTAACTTTTTTGATACATTCTTAAAGCCTGAGCACTGAACATGGTTAGAAATCAATATTACATGCCAGATTCAATGTGCTCTTCTAAACAGAAAACAGAAAAAAGCCTAATGAAAATTAACTGAAGTGCTAAATCAGTTGCTTTATAAAATGCTTAATAAGCCTCTATGCAAGGAAAAAAAAATACATATGGAGTTGTTCTAGTTCAAAATAAGAGGACAGTGCTAATGTTCCCAAGTTGACACAAGTCACAGGTACGCCCACTGCAGCAGAATGCATAACTAGGTTTCTGGTTAGAGAAGGAAGGGTGGAGTGGGTCAGAGCCACACATCTTCACGCATCTGTGTGTAGCTATCACTGCACACAGATACAAGAACTGTAAGCTGCCACTGTATCATGTCCCCACAGGGAGTTACCATAACATTCCTCTTCTCTTTTTTTTTAAGTTACCTTCACTTAGAGAATGCCAGCTGCTGCAGAGTAACTGTAGATATGACTGTTGCTATTGCACAGCACACTCAAGGCAAGTTTACTTGCTTACTTACACGGACATTCTCCAAAAGCAAATCTGAATCTTGTTGACTGTATTTGTATTGTTTACCCAAACTTTTCATTCTTTCTTTGTACTAGCTCTGAAATGCATAGTTGTGTGGTTTGCTCCTGTGTTCATAGAAATTCTGAAGTACCTTTAACTAACACCAACAGTGATAACTTTTCTAGTCTTCAAGTCCAACCTTTCAAAGTGAATCAACTACAAGAAAATGTGCCTATCTTAGTGACAGGAATTTGCAGTCATAACATGAAGTTGATTATATGAAATTACACAATTTAACATCTTCATCCAGCACACATTCATGTCTCTGCCTGAGTCAGCACAGTCTTTGTAGCCTTAATAAACCCCAGCGTGACCAAATAGTGTTTAAAGCTATAATAAGAGTGATCCTGACCGATACACTTTTCTCGAAAACTACGACTCCGTTGAAACCATGGAAGATCAAGGCTCTGATGACGAATCTACCAGGAGTGCCCAGGGACGTGGTGGAGTCCCCATCCTTCGAGGTGTTTTAGGAAAGAATGGAATGCTATAGTCGAATTAAAAAGGCGGTGATGTTTGGCCACAGTTTGGGATCGATGATCTCACTGGCCTTTTCCAACCTAATTGCTTCTGTAATGCCCCTGGTTCTGTAACTTCTGAACCAGAAATATTCAACAGCAGATTTGGTTAAAAAAAAAAAAAAAAAAAAAAAAAAAAAAAAAAAAGAACGAACATTTGAGGCTTCATACCTCAGCAAGGTATGAGGCGAGACTGCCCTGCACACCGAGGAGGCTGGGTGACTACCCTCGACTCCCAAAGGCACTAAGAAAGGGAAGGAAAACCGCGTTTAAGCGTGTCCCAGAAAAGCGCGGCCTGCTCCCGCGGGCGGTACCGAGGGGTGGGTGCCCGTGCCAGGGCCGCTCTCCGGCACAGCCCGCCAGCCCCGCGGCCCCCGCGGTACGGCCGGTCCCGCACGGAGCCCCGCCGCAGTCCCTCGGCCCGGCCGTGCTGGGCCATGCCCCGGCCGCCACTCACCGCCTCACGACGCCGGTCTTAATCTTGATCTGCCTGAGGCGCGGGTCGGCCATGGCGGCGGCACCGTGACTGCGCAGCCCCGCGCCGCGCATGCGCCGAGCCGCCAGCCCGGGCGGCACCACCGGGGCGGCGGGAGCGGCGCCTCCCGCGGCGCGCTGAGGGCGGCGGCGGCGCCGGGCGGGTTCGCCCGCACACCGGAGAGAGGTGGGAGCGGAGCGCCCGTGCCGGCCTCGGAGCGGTTCCGAGCGGTGACGTGATGGCGAGGGGCTGGAGACTAACCGGCACCACCCGTTCCCGATCGCTGGTAACGGGGTCTACAGGATTAACGCCATTTCACACCATTCTCTGTGCTGTGTCATGCGCTTTTCTCCCATTATCAGGCCCAGAAAGTCCTGTGAACCAAGGAGACAAACCAAACAGATTTCTTTTTCCTATTCCACGGGGAAGCTGCAGCCCCCCAGCACTGCCTGCCTGCAGCCCCCCAGCACAGCACTGCCTGCAGCCCCCCAGCACTGCCTGCCTGCAGCCCCCCAGCACAGCACTGCCTGCAGCCCCCCAGCACAGCACTGCCTGCAGCCCCCCAGCACAGCACTGCCTGCAGCCCCCCAGCACAGCACTGCCTGCAGCCCCCCAGCACAGCACTGCCTGCGGCCCCCCAGCACAGCACTGCCTGCAGCCCCCCAGCACAGCACTGCCTGCGGCCCCCCAGCACTGCCTGCCTGCAGCCCCCCAGCACAGCACTGCCTGCAGCCCCCCAGCACAGCACTGCCTGCGGCCCCCCAGCACAGCACTGCCTGCAGCCCCCCAGCACAGCACTGCCTGCAGCCCCCAGCACAGCACTGCCTGCAGCCCCCCAGCACAGCACTGCCTGCAGCCCCCCAGCACTGCCTGCCTGCAGCCCCCCAGCACTGCCTGCAGCCCCCCAGCACTGCCTGCAGCCCCCCAGCACAGCACTGCCTGCAGCCCCCCTGCACTGCCTGCCTGCAGCCCCCCAGCACAGCACTGCCTGCAGCCCCCAGCACAGCACTGCCTGCAGCCCCCCAGCACAGCACTGCCTGCAGCCCCCCAGCACAGCACTGCCTGCAGCCCCCCAGCACTGCCTGCAGCCCCCCAGCACTGTCTGCAGCCCCCCAGCACTGTCTGCAGCCCCCCAGCACTGCCTGCAGCCCCCCAGCACTGCCTGCCTGCAGCCCCCCAGCACAGCACTGCCTGCAGCCCCCAGCACAGCACTGCCTGCAGCCCCCCAGCACTGCCTGCCTGCAGCCCCAGACTCTCTGTCACCTTTGACAGGTCCTGAGGAGGAACTGGGACCAGAGCTGTCACTGGACAGTGAGACCTGGGACATCCCAATGGCCAGGGACACCTCTGCCTTCATCTGCTTCCACTGAGATTAAGGGAGTGACTCATGTTCTTTTATATGATTTTTGAGTCTAGATTATGGTTGTTATAGTGATACTGTAAAAGGTATGCTATGATCCAACCCCATCTGCAGAGAGTCCATGTGAACAGAAATCATAAATAAAATTGTCTTATAAATTGTATATTTTACTACTTAGAGATTGCACTACACTCCTCTCAGCTGTGTCTTGATTTGACAAGAGACAGCTGAGATGAGACCCCATAAATGTCTTTAAGTATCTAAAGGAGGGAGTCAATAGGATGGATCCTTTCTAGTGGTGCTAAGCAGTAGAACAAGAGGCAGACACTGATGTCCAGGAAGTTGCACCTGAACATGAGGAAGATCTTCTTAACTGTGCAGTGACTGAGCACTGGAACAGAAACCCAGAGACGGTGTAGAGCTTCCCTCACTGGGGTACTCAAGAGCTACCTGGACACAATCCTGTGCCGTGTGGTCTAGGATGACCCTCTTGAGAAGGGAGGTTGGACCAGATGACTGACTGTGGTCCCTTCCAACCTGACCCATTCTGTGTGTAATTCTGTTAATAGAAATACTGTGTTATGCCGGTAATAAATTCTGTGCTATACTAATAATGAAATCCCAGTAAGGAAAATAAAGCTTTAATTGTTAATCTGTTGTTTAATGGTTAAACTAAGTGTTAAACAGTACAACTTAGTGTTGTCATAGTTTTGTCAAGGATCTCTAAAATAACCTGTCTGTCCTTAGTGTCTGGTGGCTCGTAAAAGCAATAAAGAGGCAAGATTAGCACTGGCATCTCAGTCCTATAGTTGAAATCAATTGCAGGATCAAGGGCTGTTTCCCTTTATGGTTACAATCCCTAGGGTCTGTGTTTGAAAGAAATTCCCCTGAAGGAATATTTAAATCAACAAGAAAGAAAAATTAATAGCTTCAATGAACAAATAAAGGCAAATGCATTTTCAGTGAATGCAGTCCAGGAAGGTCTGCAGAGGATTTTTTTTCCCCTACATCCTTTTGTCCTGTGTTAGTGGCTTGTCCTGACCTTTGGCACTGCCAGTGACCAATATCTCTTGAGAAAAGCTGGCTGCAAGGAAGGAAGTCATGTTGCTTCTGGTGACATGACAGTCGCAGGTAATTAGCCAGCAGCTGTGGCCAAGTGGCTGGCACCACCAGGCTCCATTCAGACATGGTATAAACACGGCCAAGACTGCTCAAGTCCACAGAGCTGTGTGCTATCTGCAGAGGAGGATGAAAATGAGCTCTCTTACAGAGCCCAGCAAGCTTTCCCAGGAGACCTGGAACACACAGCCTTCGCTTGGCAGGTTGTTGCTGAAGGGAGATGCAGGTCTCAAAATCAACACTAGCTTAATGCCGTGAACAACTATGACCTGGAGACAAATTCACAGATGTATTATGTATTTGATACACAAATCTGCCACCAGCCATGCAGGAGTGGGAGGAAGGAGATCAGCATTCTGGCAGAGATAAAGGAAAATGCAGCCCCTAACTTTGCCAGAAACTCAGATCGTACTATTCTGTCTTCAGAAAGCTGTATCAAGTCATGCTGGGGCTGAAGCTGTTCTCTAAAAATTTCAAGGCAACCCAGTTAGGCTACATACTCCTTTAAAATACAGAAATCTCAAGAAAAGCTGAATTACCACCATATACCTACACATTAATTTTTTTTCAAGAATAATCTTCAATGTCATTTCCATATTTAGCAAAGGCATTCAATAATTGAGAAGGCCAACAACAGGGAACAGTACAAAACCAAAAAATTGCCTGGAAGCAGCAATATTAAGAAAATAATTCATGTTTCCAAGTGCTAAAAAGGTTTTATTTCTAGCCCTGACACATTAACTTGCATTACTGACAGTGCTTAGGCTCAGCTACTGAATTTTAGAATTAGAGTGCAATGTTTTCTTACAGCTAATTCACTTAACTAAATAGATGAAAATATACCAAATCTGTGTTCATATTTAAGCATATGTGATGATAATGTGAAAAAGGTGTTACTGGTGGATCATGGATTATACTGTAAAATGTGTCAGAATGCACGATGTACTTTGTTATTAATACATTTTTGCATTAATAACTGAAAATTTGTTAATTAACACTTAAAGACCCAATAATTTTATTTCTAAGGGTATGGATATCTGGATATCCAGGGACATACGTATAATGCTTTCCAGGACAGACACTTCTTTTTACATAAAGGGGTGTGTAGGGAGTTTGTTTTCCAGAACTCCTTTGAAACAATTTTTTAGCCTAGTCAGTCATAGATACATTTCCATGTGAATTAATTATATTACACTGGAGTTGAATACAATCCTTTATAGAGACTGTGAATCCTGATGTACCTTTCGGATGGTAAAAAAACTATCAATTCTTCAATGATTTTTGGCAGCATTCTGCTTGTATTACATGTGGTTGAAGGTTTTTCATAAGATCTATTAGCCCTAGTTATTATGAGAGCACTGTTGCATAGAGGCAGGTGCCTAAACATAATTTGCTGATGAGGTAGCTATGCTGACATGCAGAGCAAGTAATTCCATTCATGGGACCCTTAAACATATCTTTACGTACTTCCCTGTATTGCACCTTCCCAGCAGCTCCGATGAGAGCTGCACTTACTGTGAGTATGACTTCCTCTTCTCTGACCACTGCCACCTGGTCATTCCAGCTCTCATCTGACTCCATATATGCAATATTTGCAAGGCAGTTTGTTACATGTTTTGTACAACTTTACTTTAGTGGGAGTAATTGTTACTGCCAATTCACTATGCTTTCCGTCTAAAAAAAAAAATCCATCTAGATTTTGTTTATTTCTTGTGGATAAGAGCACATATAGTAATTACTGCTCATCCCCATTTCACGGAAGCAGCTAATCAGCCTGATGAGCTCAAATTACTGCACACATTAACAATTATATAGTATATATTTAATCTGGAGTGTGCACAGTGCACCTAATATATTTGCAAGTAAGCCCACCAGGGTGTAAAGCACTGCCTTTGTAAAGCATTTGTAATTTCTCTGTGAAAGACTGGCTTAAGAAGTTAAGGCTGACACTTGTTTCATTGCAAGAAAAGAGCACACACACTCAAAAGCATTGCAGTATGCCACAAGTCCCTTTTATAGTAACAGTTCCCAATTAATATATCACTCAACTAAACACTACCCCTAAGAAATTGTCAATGTGTAAGGTGTGCAAATACTGAGTCTTATTAGTCCTGGATTCTGATCATATCCCTACCTCCCATTTAAATTTATTTCCTTGGCTCTAATAAGGGACTTTACTCAGTGAAGCTATTATTTCTTATACCATAGTTCACTTCAAATTTAGAGCAAATACATTTGTCACCTGGTATAGTTCAAATTTAAGACATTATGTCACCTATGCTGCTGAGATCAGAGCAAACCTTGCACAGGGAAGTGCAGCCATGAGGGTTTAGTCCACTAAGCCCCACTGGCTGTTTCCATCACCTTGTCTATCCATTGACAAGTTGGTTTCAACAGCTTGAAAAACCCATGACCAAATGCATATGTGCTTCAACTGAGGACTGAGACCATTATTTTAATAAGTAAATGCTCAATGAGCTTTTATGCTATTTTGTTTACCCATCAAAACCATGTGTGCAGTCTGACTGTAATTCCATTTTAATTTATGATCAAATAAAATGTGGAAATTATTTAGGCTTCAGGTTTTATCTTTTTTTGTAGGAAAATGAAATTTCATTCAGCCTCCCCAAAGGATGCTACAAAATGAGATCAGATTTTCAATAAAAGTTATTCATGTTTACCTAATTTTTAATACATGTTAAGTAGATAACTGTACAGCTGCCGGCACACAGCTAGACACATCTAAGTGCACAAGAATTAAGTTCCCTGGCTGTCAGCATACGAAATAGTATGAGTATTCCTTGTAGTGCAAACCTCTTGATCCCACTTTCTTATCAGGTGATTACTCCTGGTCAAAATTGTCTTCCACAAATAACCCCCCAAAACACTTACAGAGTTGTTCAACACCACAAATACAAGCAAGTAGCACAGATACAGAATTGGACAAGGATAAAATGGATTGCTGTTGCACAGTTAGTAAGATATCTACTAAATATGCTGATTGGAGCGGGAGCTATGTTTTGTTACAGGAGAGGCGCAGTTACATAGGGAAGCTAAGTAATGGAGACATACCAGGCAGAAGCTGAAAAGGGTCAGGGGTGAAGTCCTTTCTCATTTCTGCCTTTGTACCGTCTCCAAACACCACTGGAACAGATTCTGGTTTCAACTATGCTTCTGTAAAAAGGAACTAGCCCACTGGGAAGTGGTCGTATAAAATCAGATGGAAACCTACTCATTTTCAGCAAAGTTATAGTGACAGTACAATTTACTCTAGGCAGAGAAGGCAGCAATAGTGATTCCTCAAATATGACACTACTAGAGAGCGTAGGTTACAAAATAGCTCTCTCCTACAGTTTTCAGGGTTAAACTGTGCCCACAGTAAATGTTTAGCCTACAACTCAAACCTTTTCTAGCTAACTTGAGGCTTTTTAAAAAGCAGTTTTTCTTAGCTCAGACCAACCATTTGGTGAAGAGCTAGAAGTAGTGAGAGGAAAAAGGATTTATGTGTGAGCATCAAAAGGAGAATATATCCTTTTGCGAATTATTTCCATGGGTCCCCTACGTACAAATGAAGAGATATGTGCTATAGCTATTCATTGTTCTGACACACATTGCAATCATGATGTGCAGTTTTTAATGCATCGTGTTACATTAAGCTTAGCCTATCGTTTAACACCATGTAACATAAATTTCTGTGAAGGGAGTAACATAACATGATACTGTCTTTTAAAAGACACACACGATTTTTTCAGATCACCTACTTTTTATCCATGAGTGCCCAATCCAAAAATCAAGGTGGCAGACAAAAGTGGATTGAATGAGTATCCACAAACCAGAGTATTTATCTTGTGTAGTTTTGCTCACTGCTACCTGTAGTCAATGACTCCAGTCAATTTTTATGTTGTAATGCATGAGCAAAGTTGATGGACATATTTTTTTGACACCCCTAGTTAGATTTTATTCAGGGTCAATCAAGAGAGACCTGACAGGCGTTAAGACTATAAAACACACTAAGAATCCTCACAAGTGTTTATTTCTCAATAAAGACGGGAGCTTTGATTATGAACCTGTCACTAACCTTCTCTCTTTTTGTTCTACTTTGGAGGCAGGTTTTCTATTTTAATTGACAGTTTATTTTAAAATAGACATATGAGTAGGAATGATTTTCATAGGAAATAAAGTGAACTATTGAATTAAAAACTATTGATTTGATAATAATTGGATATAATAAAATCTCCAGTGAAAGATCAAACTCCTATCTGAAGTTTAAAGAGCTCACACAATAAAGCTGCATGTCATGAATCTCTTCAGAAGGAAAAAAATTATACTTTATGTATTTATGTATACTCATAATTTGTTTATTTATCTCCCCCTGAATAATGAAAGTCAGGATTTTTTAAGACTTATCATATACATTTCTTGAAACCTGTCTTCAATACTTTCTGTATTCCTAAGTTATTAATGTAAATTTTAATTTAATCTTTTTTTGTGGTACAATACAAAACAAAACCATGACACCAGCTGACATCTGTGTGTTGTGAAGTTGATCACATGGTTCAATGCAAAATTTAAGTACCAGCCAAGAAGATGGTTTTTGGACATATTGGAAACTGCAGTTTTTATTACTCAGGATGCTGTTCTCCAATGAAGAAACAATCTTTGCCAGTGCTTATCAGACAGGAACATACAGGTAGCACACAGAGGTGGAGGACAGCAAAGTGGCTGCCACCAAATAGGCAGATAATGAAAATATCCTGTATGGTGCTTCAGGTAACATTCTGATTGCTTCTCACAGGTCAGTAAAACAGGCGAATAGTACCTGCAAAGTGTAATATCAAGATGATACAGTATTAGAAAGCCTAAGAGAGATAAAAAAATGTATGTTTTTAATAAGACACCAATCTTTATTGAGAGAGATAAACATGTTGTCATGGTATTGCTTGATGCTGTAAAGCAATTGGCAAAAAAATTACCTACATTGTGATTAAAGTTTAGCACTCTGCAGTACCACTTTAGCACATTTTAAGTAGTTTGTAAGTTGGTGAGTTGTTGTTGCTTTATTATCAAATGCAGAGGTTTCTGGTGAGTTGTTGTAGTAATCTGTTCATCTGGCCTAAGTTAATTGCTAGATCTATTAATCATTGGAAAGGAAGTGCTAAAATAATTGCTAATAAAACCTGCTGCTGGTACAAATGCTGTTGACACTATAAGTAATAAGAACAGATTAGTTCTATAACGGAAACTGGATTGCTGGGTGAAATAAACTTATTTTAAAAAATAATTTCAATGCTGGAAAAGTTAGGGTCACACATGTAGAAGTACAGAATATAAGTTAGATGTACAGAGTGAAAAACTGTGACTTGGGAACCCATAGCCCCAGAGAAGGATTGTGGGGTTGTGATGGATAAGCAATTAAATATGAGCCCGGCTATAATATTGTGGCTGACAGGGAGCAGGTAGCACCCATTAAATATACTGTCATTTTGGTATTGTGTTGGAGTCTTAAATACCTAGAGATTATGAAAGAGCAAGGCTCTGGCTGAAGTTACATACCTAGTTTTACACTTTTAAAAGAGCTTGTAAGGCTCAGAACAAATCTATGGGAGTGACACAGTACCAGAAAAATACACCCTATGCAGCAAGCATATAAAGCTAGTGATGAAAAGAAGGGAGTCAGTTTGTAACACACACAGAGAAGGAATTTCTGTTAGCAGAAGATTCACAACACAGCAGAAAAAAGAAACAGTAGAATACAACAGCAAGCTCAAACTAGACAAAATCAGGATTGAACTAAGGAGGACAATTTTAAATACTAGGCAACATATTTTAAATACTGGTAAAACTACCAATAAGAGATGGAAGTGTTTAAGATTGGTTGTTTTTTGTAAAAAAACCCTTTGGCTTAACCAGGAGGAATGGTGTGTATGTCTTTGCAAAGGGCTGGATAACCTGTAAGAACCAGTCAGAGTCTGGAAGGATGGGTGTTGGGGGCTTTATGAACAAAGTATGTAACTAATTACCCGAAAGGACCAATCAGGTTCTGGAAGAATGGGTATGGAGGTCTTTACGAATGTCAAGCTACACACCTTTGTTGCAGAACTGAGCACAGTCTGAACTTTTGAACTTTAGGGGAAATGAGAAGGTTAAATAGACTTACAAGTTTGATCTTATCTGGCCAGGGTGGGCTTAAAACTAAGTTTAATGATCTTACAATGCATGATGTATTGATTGGTGGTTACCAATATGGAGAATGGGACATGCCCTGGCTTGTCTGGCCCCTACTGCTGAACCAAATAGCAGCAACTGTGGTGTTTCACCCCAGAGACGCTTTTGTGTACATGGATGTTGCACCTGGGCGCATGAGGACAAGTCCAGGCACGCCAGAGCTCGGGTGGCGGCAGGATGGAGCTTCCTCACAGAGGGTTCATTCCCTCAGAGGTTTTCCTCTGCCAGAGAAGCTTTTAAGGCTGTGGTGAAGGAAAGGAGTCGGTTCTGATGGAGGGTTTTAATCCAGAGCTTTTATTCTGGTCCACAGGCCTCTGAATCCAGTCACAGCTCCACCAGAACTCCAGCACAATGTGGTTCCCCTCTCTTTTACCTGGGGGAGGGGAGGGGGGAAGGGATAGGGAGCCCAGCAGCCAGGTACGGGAAAGGAGGTCTCGGGACAAAGGACACGTGGACGGCCCAATGCCCCTTGGGGGTGGAGGGCATCTTTTGAATCTGCCCAATCACTCTTCTGGAATGCCAGGAGTGACACACAAGGCTGGCAGGGGTCAGGGTGGGGAAAGGAGGAGTGATTGACACACCTGGGAGACATCTTCAGGGGAGGAACCAGGGTTTGGGGGTAAACCATGAAAGTACACCACAACAGTGATGTAGGGAGAATACATTTTGAAAGGGGAATATGTGGTAGGATGTTTGGGGTGTCTGTACCCTCCTAGTACCTCAAACAATGGGAAAAGGAAAAAGGCAACATACAGTAAGGAGTTTAGGATGAAAAAAAAGGATGCATCCTCCAAAAACTGGAGAGAGACCACACAAGTGTGTGGCCCTGTGGACTCTCTCCCTTCTTTTGGTGAAGTAGATTTTTTTCAGGGCTCCTCTGCGTCCTGTGTGGATACTGGCCTTTGTCAGTGTGATTTTCTGCACAGCTTAACTACAAGTTAAATCAAAGTGTAGAAATTAGCATGTAAAATCTCTATGAGGGTTTATATTGTAGAATCATAGAATGGTTTGCATTGGAAAGACGATCTAATTCCAACCCTCCCTACCACAGGCATGGACACCTTTATATAGATTGGTTGCCCAGAGGTCCATCAACCCAGCCTTGAACACTTTCAGGGATGGGGCATCTTCTCTGGGCAACCTGTTCCTATGCCGCATCAACCTTACAGCAAAGAATTTTTTCTTACCTAGTCTAAACCTGCCCTCTTTCAGTTTGGAGTCATTCCTCCTTGTCCTGTCAAGGAGAGCCTGGGTGGTATATGTGACACTCCTTGAATGGTGAGAGAATTCTTGGGCTGTGGCTTATCCTTTAACACTTGGTGTTGTTTACCAGTGTGCTGAGAGC